ATGTTTTTTGGTCATTTTTTTTAAAAAAAACAGTCATACAAAATACAAACAGGTGTCCCAACATTTGTTGTCATTTCTTTACATTCTACCAAAGTCTGTTCATTTGTGGTCCCAGCAAGCTATTTATTTTTCTACACCGTCCAACTATAATTCCAAACAATAAAATGCACTTATGCTCCTTATTTATCCCAAAAGGCAGATATGAAATTCCTAAAGAAATACAACAGCAGCTAAACACAGTAATCAACTCACAAAAAACTAAATAGCTTAATAAAAGTGGCAAGCTGAACTACTCCAACCTGAAAGACCCTTATGAAATACAACAACTAAAATTCTGTAAAAGAAAGCAGCTGAATAAGTTCTAAAAAATAAATATATTTTAAATTCAAATAAAGTTTAAAAAGCTGAATATATTTTTAATGCTCTCTAAAGTATAATAGCTACAAAATAAATCAGAATAAAAATAGCTTGCTAAATGTAGCCGAAAGCTAAATGTGTAGTTAATCTGTATCAGTGTTTTTTCTGACAGCAAATTTTGATTTTGTTTTAGTGGCAGTCTTTTGACTAAAATGTCATTTTGTGTTAGTCCTATTTTAGGCATTGTAACCCTTTTAGATTGAGCCCTGTTTTAATTTGGTTAAAAATCATAACATTATCACAGTTGAGTAACATATAAAGTGTTTGTCGTGTTTTTACTGGTAAAAGTTGTGCCACATGGCTTATAAAGTGTCTTATTTTCCTTGATATCAAATGTGAATGTGTCCATATGTCCACTCTTCTCTTCCTGTTTTCTTATGAAAACAGAGAGCATGGGAGCTTCTCCCCCTGTCCCTTCTTTTTTTGTCATAGACACGTCAAATTGCAAGCCTAACCTTGCTGCACAAGGAGATTAATTCTGATTGGCTCACTTCCAAACCTGGCCCGCCTCTCTAAACAACTTGTATCCAATTGGAGCTTGTTTCACTAGAACATTTTCTTCTTGAATTTATTTAGTCATCGTCTTGTTTTCTTCAGAAAAGAAAGGGATGTTGACGAAAACTATGCCTGTATATATACCTATAAACAGTTCACTTGTTAAGCTGGCCTGTCGGGTGAAGCATGTTATGCCAATATGCATTTTCACGAAAATCTTCCAGAGGTTTAAATAAACCCCGTATGAGTTACCACAAAAACGTATCTGTGCAAAAAATGTGAACAAGCTCTACTTAAATCTCATTAACACCAAACTATCAAACAGCCGACTAAATATTATAGGATTATTGTTCAGACTCACACTCACATTAAGTCTTAAAATAAAAAAAAAATCTTTTCTGTTTTTTTGACATTTCTCGTTAACGTTCAAACATGGCTGACACATCATAGTTCAAAATCAAAAAGTAATTAAACTGCTTTCAAGGGACTA